CAGCTCTCCAAGTAAGACTTCAGTATTAAATAAAACGGTCCAGTTATAAAGCTGAACTTTAATTTCAGCCAAACCAATTTACTCAGGAACAAATCAAACACTGAAATAAACCAAACATGAACATTTAGAAGTGATCTAAGTGACTTATATATCATGTTTAACCCAAGTAGTGAAAGACCGAGAGGGGTTTGAAAATGATGCGCTGGGATTCTGTGCCTTGACCACCCAGTCAGCTGGTGGGTAAAAGCCATCTTGAAAAACGTCAGAGCACTTTTGCAAATATGTGATGTCTTGATAAATCAAGCAGATAGTTGAAGTTTACACAGCAAAAATGTCACCTGAAAGTATCTTAAAAGTGCCAGGGCTCAATGGCCTGTGAAAAAGGAAGGGACTCAAGCACAGAACCAAAAACTGGACCTAAGTGACGGGCGATGGAAACTATAGCGGACCTGGAACACTGGTCCGCTATAGGAGATAATAATCAGAGTGGTCCGCAGAGTTGTAAATGAATCTAAGATTTCAAAACTAAGAGGTCTTACGTGGCTGCAGGTGGAGATTAGCTGGAGGAGGAGGTGAACTAGATGAAGGTGAGTACAGAGTGCGATGTGGGTGTGCAGGGAGGCAGGCAGGTGAGGATGGCAATTTGTGAGTGAGTTTTACCAGCTGCAGCAGACCAGAATCCTGAGACGTGACTATGGCGAGAGTTGGAAAATATATCCAGGTGCCGACTAGTGAGCAGGAAAAAAGGGTTAAGCGAAACACGCTGAGGAACTCAAGACAAAATGTGAGGCAGAGAACTGACTATGGCAAGCACACAATCTGGCAAAGGTTCATTGTGAGCGCTGGTCATAAATACTGCTGGAGTAATTGCCAACAGGTGAGGAGCAAGGAGAGCTCCACCCAGGGGAGGAAAATTACTCAGACTCACCCAGTAAGTAATTTTTCAAACTTTTTAGCCGTGTTCCTCCGCCATTGCCTTGTTTGAGTTTTGGACAAAATGCATTCTGGGATATTTGTCTGGGGTTAGCTACAGTAGCTAGTGACCAAAACAGCCAATCAAAACTTTTTTGTCATAGTGCCGTGAGTGAGATGAAGCTCTTTCTCTCAGATGAGGAATGGCCATGGTGTTGAAGAATTTTAAAGTCCCAATGCAAATATAGCTAAGAACATTGTTTTTATTGTTGTTTATTGTTTATTGTTTGTTTCTTATTAATTAATTTTATTTGATGGAATGGCTCATCCAATTACTGAAGTGCTGCTCTTGCATACATACACCAAGAAAACTGTATGCATTATATCTACACTTTACATAAAGATATCTAAACATAAATAGATGTGTTTCTATTTCTTTTCTGTCTTCTTCTCTCTGTTTTCACCTAACACTCTACTAACTAACTAACTGATAAAACTACACCCTCAGTTTCATATCACTCCTTGTACACAGTTAGTTATATTTGACACCTTTCACAAACATAATGTCCTTGTTCATTCCTAAACTCCTCAACATGGAACTCACAGCATGTACGATGTTGAAACGTATTCAACTGTTAAAACACAGCTTTGACTTAAACTTTCAATTTGATTAATTTGTTCATTTAAACAAAGTTCAACTCATTTTATGAAAAGAACTGACCTTTGATAATAAAGTCAACACAGGTTATTGTTTAACAGAGGGTTGGGCTGAGAGTGCACATTGTTTTATTACAACCTACTTTCTTTGAGCTGTGGGGATGGTTTTAAGCAGTTCAACGGGTATGTAGATTTTTACCATGTAAGCTACACTGTAATCATTTCCTTCTTTATTTATTTTGATTATTTACTGACTTTACTTACTAAATTATTTAGCAGGTGTTTATAATACATAAAATCTGATTAATCACATAAGCATTTACAGTTATCAGAGGCACAAAGAGTGTGTAAGCGGAAACATTTTTTGTAGTGAAGGAATGAAAGTAACATAATAATTATTTCTGGATACTTGTGTATTCATAAATATTTAGAATGTGTGTGAGGACCTCATGGATATACTGAACTCAATATTACTTGTGTCTCTTGTCTCTCTACTTTCATCGCTCTATTAATTTGATCTCTTTAGCGATTACTGGTAAGAGTAGATGTGGCAACCAGAAAATGTGAAAAAGGCACAGTACAACAGCCAATGTTTTATCACTGTTTATCAACAAAAACATACTTTTGTGCAAATTTTCACAGACCTTTGATTTAGTAAAAAGTGTTTTTGTTATTTTGCATGTAGTATAATGACTTCGTAAAGATGAGTAACTGGGCTGTGTCCAGATGACATGGTAGCTCTCATCAAGAGCTAAGAAGAAAAAGTCAACAATTCCCAGTTTGTCTTTCAATTGAATGTCCAGATTTCCTGCATTGTTCTTGATCTCTCTTGTTACTGTTACTCCTGGAAAGGAGCACATTTCCAAATGATTAAAAATAAATTTTAACATAATTAAATACTTTTTTCAAATGTGATATTACCGTGACAGTCTAAAAGTCAGTCTTTGACTGTTTCATTTTTTCTATCAGAGAATGGCTTAATATAAAAAGTGTGTGTTGCTATGCTTTTTGTTGCAGACATCTAGAATGAGTCCTATAAAGAATAAACATCTCTTGGTTTTGCATCATGTTGTTGTCGTCCTCCTTTTTCTAACACAAACTTGTGGTGGTAAGTTGCACACAAACATTTATAAAATCCACAATTTAAAGTGCTTACCTGTAGTCTTACACAGAAGATGGAAACACACACTGTAACAGCACCAGTTTATGTTGATGTAGTTAAATAAATCAATTACATATCTTGCTCAGACTGATCTTCACAATTACAAAACTGCTGAACTGTATGTGTCCCTAAATTTGTTAGGTCAGCATCAAATGATTGGTCCAACTCAGCCAGTAGTGGCCATGATTGGTGATGACATCATTTTGCCATGCCACCTGGAACCTGCTGTGGATGCTGTTGACCTGACTGTGGATTGGTCCAGAA